CCCCCCCCCCGGGGCCAGTGACAAGCCTCGCGCCCCCTGCCGCGCAGGATAAGCACCCCCAGCGGGGCTCCGAGAGGAAAACACGCCAAGGCCGTCCGAGCAGGGTCCCTTCGACCCCGTGGGCCTTGCTTTGGTATCGTGACAGGAGCAGGGGCAGGCGTCCAAGCGTACAAACGTGTTTATGGATGACACAGAAAGCTTCGGGACGGGGACGCCGCTGGCGTGAGACACTCCTCGCCGAGGAGGGAGGAGGCTCCTCCGCGTGGGTCTCCAGTACCGGCGGGGCCGCTAGGCCGGGTGGTGGTGGTGGTGGTGGTGGTGGTGGTGCTCGTGGTGGTGGTGGTGCTCGTGGCGCTGGACCGCCGGCACCGCGCAGGCCTCGCCCAGCAGCGCGGGTGGCAGCTCCCGCGCTGCCTCGTGCTCCAGCGCCGCGGGCTGGCCTGGTGCGGCCTTGAGCGGCGAGTGGCCCTCCCGGCCCCGCTGCCGGCACCGCCTGTGGCCGTAGGGTGGGGGCAGGGACTGCGGGACATGGTGACCGTCCTGGGGCGGGGCCTGAGGTTGGGGGGCCGGCGGGTGGAAGCTGAAGGCTCTCCCGGGCCTGCCCCCACTGGGGGCCCCGGGCGGCCGCCCCGAGCCCTGCGGGGACCTCAGGAACGGCCTCTCCGGCCCCTTCGGCCGGGCCGGCAGGTCCAGGGCCCGCGGCACGGGCTCAGCGGCCAGCAGAGCGGGCTCGGCCAGCCCCAGGCAGCGGCGATGGTGCACAGCGTGTGCATCCGACTCCTGGGAGCGGGACCGGCCCTGCGGGTGGGCGGCCCTGGCTGGGGGCTCCTGCCTGGCCTGCGCCGGGGGGGACCCTGCAGACACGGCACCCGTGAGACCCCTCGCGGGGCCTGGGACGTCCCACCCGGACCCGGTCCTGCCCGCACACCTGAACGGCCCACTCTGGCACTCGGGGCCCCAGCTGGGGTCGCCGCAGGGCCCCGGAACCCTCAGGCCTGGCGCCAGGGCCCCGGTCTCCAGGACCCACCTGGTCCGAACTTAGATGCGTAGTTCTCGATTCCCGCCAGGTCCAGGTAGTGGTTCCTCCGCTCCGTGCTCTCATCCACGCAGTAGGGCCCCCGCTCGGAGCAGGGATGGGGGTCGGCGGTGGGCCTCCTGGTGGAGCATGGTGGGGGCGAGGGTTTGCTCTCTCGTGCTCTAAGCAGCTCGCCCACCCGGAAAGGGTGGGTGCTAGGACAGGCAGGGGCCCAAGGGGACCCCAGGACCATGGTCCCACCCAGTGTCCTCCGCTGTCTTTGCGTCACCTAGGACACCGGCTAGGGCTCCGTGGCTGCTGCCCCAGTGAGTGGAGCTGTAGGGCACAGGAGCAGCTGGGCTGAGGGTCTGGAGGCCGAACACCTGCTGCCCTTCAAGCCCCATGGCCTCTCAGACGACACTGGAAGCGCGCAGCTCCAGCCCGAGTGCCGGCCACCCACCCGATGGCAGGGAGGGACCGGGGCTCCCTGGCCGCATCCAGGCCTTTGTGCCCAGGTGCCCATCCTGGCGGGCCACCCCAAGGGGACAGCCCCTGAGGCCTATGGGTCACAGGAGTGTGGCTGGGCTGCTCACATCTCAGGAGGGCAGAGCTGGACGCCAGACCCTCACCTGATGTGCGTGGACAGCCTCTTGTCGGCCACCCTGGGGTCCTCGGGGAGCTCCCCCTCCATCCTGCATCGCGTGGGCTCCCGGTCTGAAAGAGGCAGGTGGGCACTCGTCCTCTCACCCGCTCGTTCACTCACTCACTCATTCACTCATTCACCCACTCGTTCGCTCACTCACTCATCTACTCACTCAGGCACCCACGCACTCATTCCTTCACCGAACAAAGAGCTGCGAGCCCTCGCCAGGTGCCAGGCCCCGCTTTCCATGTTCAGGAGGCCATAGAGATTTTTTCTGTGATGGGGGCACTGAACAGTAGACACAGTTAACACCCCCCAGCAGGGTGAGTGGGAGCTCTGGGGAGATGCAGTATGGGGGCAGGGGGTGCAGGAAGCCTGCCCGCGAGGAGGGGTGGGCTGACGTGTAAAGCAGGGTCTTCAGGGCCTCTGAGCAGGGAGCTGCTGCAGCCCAGGAGCCCAGGCCCTCACCCTGGCCGGCGGGGGGGCCTTCCTTCCTCTTGCTGGAGGGCTCAGGGCTGACGGTCAGCTTCACTCGGAGGGTCTTGCTTCTGCCCGAGGAGTGGTTGACCGAGGCATCGACAACCTCGTAGATGGTGTGCATCAGACTGGACATGTCCTGAGGGTGGGCATGGATGTCATGGACACAGGCAGACCAGGGGGAGGACCGCCCAACCCACACTGCCTGCTGCCACCTCCAGGCTGCCTGCCTGATTGATTCACTCGGCATCCCAGCAGAGCCCAGCTAAAGGAGACAGACAGCTTATCTGAGACGCCTTTCCTCAGTCCTGTGAATGCACCACGCGACCTGAACCAGCAGCCCTGCTGGAATCACATCTTTCCGACCTTTTAAATTTCAAACCGAATCTATGTTCAAAAGGCTTAGCAATCAGAAAAACTATCAGATTTTGCTTTTAACTCAAATACACTTATTTCAGTCATCCTACACGTCTGCTTCCTTTCAAGAGGCACTTTGCCCCTCCTGGACACACAAGCCAGCAGAGCAGAGCGCCGGGGGCACCCCTGGGGCCCTCACCACCCTGCGGAGGGGAGGGGCTGCTGGCCGGGGCAGAGACAGGCGTGCAGGGCTCTGCCAGGAACCGCACAGACAGCGGCCGGGCGCAGGAGGGGACACGGACTCCAGCCCGTTCTGTCAGTGACCTGGGTCCTGCGGTGGCTGCCCTCCCACCCCCCCGCAAGCCTGTCCCATGAAGGGTGCCAGCCTCTCCCGCCACCCTGGAGGAGGCTCAGCCTGTCCCAATCGTGGAGACCCGGGCCTCGTTGTCTGTCTACGGCCAGCGCCCTTCCAGGGACCGTGTGACGCAGGCGCAGCGTGTCACCTCTCTGGTGGCCCTGCCACTGTTGTCGAAGCCATAGAGCGTGAACGTCCACTCCTGGCCGTCATCCTCCTCCACCGAGACGTCACACTGGAGCGCCTGCAGGGGTGACGGGGACAGGCAGCCAGGGTCAGCCTCGTCCTCGCGCCGGGGCCCTGACCCCCACCCCGAGCGGGCTGGGGAGCTGAGAGGTCTGCACAGTCGACTCCTGGATCGCTTCCGTGGTGCTGGCACTGGTGCCGGGCAAGTCCCCTGAATTACTTGGGGCCACACTGGCCAGCTCTGGCGAGGGCACGGCGACAGGTCCACCCAGCAGAGCCTGCTGCGTGGGAGCTGCAGGGCGCAGGGACCCCACGTTAGCGCGATACGCGCCCCCCCGGCCCCGGCGCTGGCCGCCTGCGGGAGGGGCAGCGGGTGAAGACCTACGTCCACGTTGAGGCGCCGCTTGCCCGGCCCGCGGGGGCCCTCGCGGTTCACTGCCCTCTCTCCATCGTCTGTGCCGAACAGCTGTCCTGGGCCCTCTCGGCCCTCGGCCTTCTCGGGCGGCGGTGCCACTGCAGGGACGAGAGGGGTGGGACGGGCCCGTCTCCCCTGGCCTGACCCGGGGGCTGACGCAGGGCTGGGGAGGGGGTGTGGCCCCGGGGCCACCGCGTCCTTGCTGGGCCTGTGACCTCTCCAGACGGGTCTGAGCTGAGGGCCTGGGCTCCTGGAACACGCGGCATCAAGGGACCTGAGCGGAGGCCAGGGCGGCCCTCCCCGGGGTGAGCCGTGGCCAGACGCGCGCTCCTGCCTCTGCCTGCCTGGCTGCAGTGGCTTCGAAGCCTGGGGCGGGGAGAGGGCGGCCCTGCAGGCCCACAGGCAGGCGGCCCGGCCCGAGGGGCCTCCGGGAGGGTTGCTGCACTCACTGTCTGGCTTCCCCTCCCCAGCGACACTGTCCGGTTTCCCAACAGCCCGCAACTCCGGAGCCTGGGAGGCTGCCTGTGCGCCGGGCAGCCCCCTCCCCAATCTCCGGGCCCAAAGGGCAAGGAGCTCTCTGGTTTCCGGGCTCACTTACTCCCCAGGACAGGAGCCGGGCGTGTCTGGGAGGTGCACAGCTGCCAGGAGACACCCGGGGCCCGAGCTCCTGGGCAGGGCTCGCGGAGTCCCTCCAAAGGCAGCCCTGCCAGTCAGCCTCCCCGCCCACGTAATGCTGAGAACGCTCACCCGGCACCTGACCCTCGGACAAGCCTGGTGGTCACCTGTCACACGCCACAGGGGGACCCACTCCACGGCAGATGCACACGTGTGGCGGTGACTAGGGAGGTCATGCTTCGCATGCAGACCATTTTTGACAGCCTTACGCTAATGCGGCGCATCACACCCACAGGTGAGCCGTGGATTCACCAAAACGCCCGTGTGTGGAACCTGTCCTTCCGCCCACGGGCTCGCGGGACTCCAGGGACGTGGACGGGCAGAGGCCCTGAGATTCGCCTTTTGCTTCTCCAACCCCCAGACCGAGGTCCACGTCATCTGCTCCACGGAGGAGCCCACGTGAGATGTGTTTTTAAGCACATCTCAGAACAATTTGCTTTTAAGACCGGGGAACCTGGCTTGCATCTGCAAACGGCCACCGGTGGGGATCCGCGACCAGCCAGGGCTGGCCTGGGTGTGGTGGGACAGGTCGGGGAGCGTGGGGCGTGGGTGGTCCCCAACGCCAGGGTGTCCTGGGGGCAGGTGCCTGGGGTACGGTGTGGCGTCAGTGAGGTCTGGAGAGCAGGACTTACCCCCTAGGGGACACGGGTCGTCCCGGAAAGGTCCTTCCTCGGGATCCCCGCCAGGCAGCCCCTGCAAGGATAAAGGACAGGGCAGACGGTGTGCACCCCAACACGAGCTCCGGGTGCCGGAACCGGACCCCACCTCCTGGGGCGCCAAGAGTTCTTGGTCTAGGAATACCAACCTCTCCACACTCACTAAGCCTCAGATTTTTGAAAGTAAAACACACGCACATCCCTGGACATTGTCTGGTTCCATGAGAAGTGTCTCCAGGACGAGACACGGCGCCCGTGAGAGCGCCGGGGCTTCAACAGGAGCCCCGCACGAGGGACGTGGCCTTTGCCCAAGGGCGCAGCCGCAGTGGGAACAAAGCCCCGGCCTGGCCTTTGCTGCGAGAGGTGGGCACAGACCAGAACCCTGGGCTGCGGACAGGAGAAGCCGCCTGCCCTCTGCTCCCTGGCCCGCACGCAGCATCTCCCGTCACAGCTGGGCGAGAACCCGAGTGACCTGCCCCCGAAACACCCACGAACCCAGGGGCCGGGGCTGCAGGGGGACGGCATCTCCTCCAGGGCGGCCGGGCCGAGGGCACAGACAGAAGCCCCCCGGCTTCCAGGGCCGATCCCAAGACCAGTTACGGAAAAACAGGACAAGGCTTCCAACGTATCCAAAGGGTGTTTCAGCCAGGAAACTACAGAAGTTCACGTGGCCCGTGGAGACAGCCCACAGAAGTCAGCACAGAGACGGGAAGAAGGGACGACACGGCCACGGAAGCTGCCTCGGATCCTGGCTCCATCCAGTGTCCCAGTGGCGGGTCACGTGGCGCCGCCCCCGGGGGTTTCCCCAGGTGACTCTTGGGCAGACGGACGTCTCTGTCCCCCACATTTCCGTTCTGACTCCGAAGCCACAAAGCTGTTGAGAGCCCGGCCAAGGATGCAACGTTCAGACGTGTGTGTGGACACGGCCCCCCAGGCTGCTTGGCTGCACGGCCCTCTTGGGCCCCAAGGCTCTATCACACCTCCTGACGCAGCACCTCCAGGTCACTTGGGGCCCCTCATCTCTCCCAAGGGCTCAGGCCCAGTCGGGAGTCAGCTCGGCAGGAGGCCCAGCGGGGTTGCCCCGCCAGGTCGCGTGACACCCCACAAGCTCGGGGTCCCGCAGGGGATGGTGGAGGGTTCCGACCGCTGCCCCTCAGGCTGCAGGCAGTGGCCGGGGACCAGCCCCGACCTGTCCACAAAAAGGCCTGACGTCATCTCCACGTGGTGGTGGTGTTGGGTCAGACTGTCCCTCTGACCAGATGCGCGGCCACTCCCCGCAGGGCGACCTCCTAAGTGGCCCGAAAACCGGGGCCCACAAGCACTACCGGGGTACACACAGACGCCCCATTTCTGATGGCCCCGCTCAAGGGCCCCGCTTCCGCCGCAGCGCCTTCCCCAGGGTGGTCCAGCCCCACCCCTCCTGGGATGCCCCTCCCATGCTGGCGTGCACGCCCCTTGCTCTGAGCCCCGGCTGCAGACCCTCCCCAGCATCAACCTCCCCCCTCGCTCCCCTTTGTGCCCCCAGAGGAGCCCCGGCCTCCTGCATACAGAACCCCCCAACCTCACCTCGCTTACCGGTCCGGCCCCCACCTTCCCGCTTCCCCGCCTGACCGGATGGTCCTGGGCACCAACCACCTCCTGACTCTCCTGGTGACAGGCTCCATCCCCATGCGGCCCCGGGACTCCCACATCAGCCAGCAGGGCCTACGAGATCGCCATGCTCTACGATCCATGTGGGGCCTGAGCTCCTGCCAACCCCCTGGGGCACCAGGCGGGGGCAGCTCCCCCCTCGCCCCTGCAGCATCTGCGTTCATTCTCTGGCATCCGCCGGGCCCTCCTTTCGCCGGGCGCTCTGCTGGCCCCCTGGGATGGCACCAGGGCCCACGCATCCTGATGCTTTATTCTCCCTGTCCTCTGGACGTCGTCAGGTGGCCGCGGCCTTCGCTGCAGGGTCCCCATGGTCCCAGCTGTGCCCCTCTCACCCGCAGGGGCTCTCGGGGGAGCCCACCAGGCCCATGGGCCACGGCCCCCAGAGGCCACGTACCCTGCTGTGCCTCTGTCCTGAGCTCAGATTCCCGAGGACATCTGCTCCATTAGCCATGGCACAAAACTGAATTCCTGGTCCTTCCCAGCAAGCGGCCCTTGGCCTGGCCAGGCCCTGCTGAAAGGCCCAGGACGGCCCATCTGCCCAGGTGAGGCCTACAGGCACACAGGTGTTGGGACATACCACCTAAAAGCTCAGACCCTGGCCTCCCATGAAAAAGCCAAGAGGTCTGGCCACACATTCCCACAGCCAGGGTGCCCCCTCCATCCACCAGAGCTGTCGACGCTGGGCCGTCCACCCCTCATGCGAGCCTGGTTGAGGGGCAGGAGATGGGCTCCTGTTTAAGGCCACGTGGATGTGGGGAGGTCTGGCTGATTGAAAAGGAGAAACCTTTGGTGACATAAACGATCACCTCCTGAACACCGTCCGCTTTCCAAATGTCAACATTCACATATTCCTTCACAATTCAGTGCCTCTGCGTCCTTAAGAAACGTGTTCCCGGGTTTTCGGAGCCACCCGTTTTCCTTGGAAACCCCACACTCTTGATGGAGCAGAGGCTCTCCCCCCACCCGCCCCCCGGGAAGAGCCCCAAGGGAATGGGTGCGGCCGGAGTTTCTGCTCTTCCCGTGGAGCCGAGGGGCGGGGGGGAGCGTGTGAAAAGATGGCCTTTAGAAACCTGCTTCCTCATCGGCCTGTTAAAGGGTCTGGTTAGAAACTGCTCTTGACAAACATGCTGGGCATCCTGGAAGGACCTTACAATCCGCTGCAAACTCGAGACCCCAGGGGGACCTCCTGGTATATCCTGCAGCCCAGCTCCCCGGCCACTCTGGCCCAGCCGCCCCTTCCTGTGGCCGCCCACCTGCATGGGAACCTGCTTCCCTGCAGAGTCGGCCGTCAGGGGTGCCCGGCGTCCACCAGGCTGCTTGGCTCCTGAACCCGGGTCCACCCAGTGTCCTGGCGTGGCCGCGGGCCTGTGGCGAGTCCTGGGCAGCTGACAAGCCTCGGGGAGGGCGGGGGCTCACATCCCCGCCTTCCGCCACCGCCCCCCGCCGATGCTGCCGGGAAAACTCAAGGCCCTTCCAGCCAGCAGCCCTTGGGGTTAGTTCAGGCCTTGTTTTGCTCCAGGAAGGGCAGGCGCCCCCTCTTTTCCAAACAGATAACCCTGCACTGTGTTTCCTTCAAAAATCCAGGTTGATTCAACCCAGATTCTTCACCAGGGCTTAGTGCGGGGGTCTGCGGGATTTGGGCTTCAACAGACAGGAGCTGTCAAGGATCACAGGGCCCGGAGGACGGTGTGTCAGTGTCCTGGGGCGGCCGTAACAAATGGCCACCAGCTGGGTGGCTTAAAACAAAGAAATGTATCCCTTCCCAGTTCTGGGGCCAGTAGTCAGAAACCACGGTGTGGCAGGGAGCTCCCCCAGAGGCCCCAGGGAGGGTCCCCCCTGCCTCTCCCAGCTCCCGGGGGCCCCAGCGTCTCTGGGCTCGTGGCCGCATCCCGCCAACCTCTGCTCTGTGGCCGCGCGGCCTCTCCTGGGTGCATCTTCCATTCCGGGTCAGCACCCCCGCCCCCCTCCTTCCTCTTACAGAGGTACACCTGGTGGCAGTTTGGGCCACCAGCAGCATCTCTCATCTCTAGATCCTGAGTTTAATGACATCTGCAGAGACCCGTTTTCCACATAAGGTAACAGTCGGGGGCCCTGGGATGAGAATAAGCCCAGCACCGTCCGGAAGCCGAAAGGCGGTTGAGAATCCTGAACCAGCCGCCGACCGCGCGGCCTCGGCTTTCCTCCCAGTGACGCGAGGCCAGGGTGCAGAGTGACTGCCCACGCACACGCTCACCACAGGGCCTTCTCCTGAAACAGGGGACAGACAGGGAAGCACACCGGCCAGAAACCCAGCTGCGACCGGGCCCCTCCTCCGGCCTCAGGGGTGGGGAGACCGCAGCCCTGCTCCAAAGCCAGGGTCACAGCGCAAACCGTGAGGGCACACTGAGAGCCGCGTCTGCTCCCACAGTGGATTCTTTAGACTCCGCGGGGGCCCCAGGCCTGCGTTTCTGAGAGCTAGTCTTCCCCAGAGGACGGAAAACTAGCTGCGTATTGAGTCCAATTTCCTCTCTGTGGAGGGTCCAAGGACACGTTGCTGTCTCAAGAATCCAGAGGGTCCCCCTGGGAGAGCCGGGCTGCATGCACCCACCCCCAGAACGGCTCTGGTCCCACCGCTGATCTTGGAACAGTAAAAACACGGGGTGATCCACTCAGAGGAGTTTGCAGCCCCCCTGCAGCTCAGGAGCTAAAGCCCACAGAGCATCTTGGGGTCTGGAAATACAGCCCCGTGGGATGTAAGTTCAAGGCCGCTTCTGAGAGCCTGGACTGGGTGAATTCCGGAGTCCCGAGATGAGACGTCTGCAGGTGGGGGTAGGAGGGGGGCCCAGTGTGGACGGGAGTCCAAGCAGGGGGACGAGACACCGCAAGTCAGAGAGAGGAGGAGAGATGGGGGAGGGGAAAGGAGGGGGAGGGGAGGGGCTCCCCCGGGGGGGCAGCGGGAGGGCCACGGGGAGGAGGGGGGCCTAGCAGGCCAGCTGGGGGCGCCCTCCAGTGCAAATGGCTCCTGGTAGGACAGAGCCTTGGTGCTCCCCAGCTCCCTCAGGAGAGGGTGGCCTCAATGCCAGGAGGACGCCTGGGCTCCGGAGCCTGCGGGGCCCACGCCAAGGGTCACAGGTACCATCCCGAAGGCGCTGTTCACCACGCGCTCCCGCCTGTTCGGAAACCAGACGATCGCTCCTGCGGCGCCCACCACCCCAGCGACGCAGGGCACCCCTCTAGCCACACCGCCTGGCTGCCCCACGGGCTCTCCACCCCGGCCCCGGCTCACACCGGCCCCCTCGTGGGCTGTCGGCCCTCGTGGAATGTTGATCAGTCCAGCAGGCTTTCTGATCATCAGACAGAGCCTGGCCTTACCTCCCGGCCCTGGGCAGGTGAAGCAGGTAGCTCTGAGGCGGCATGTGGAGAGGACCCCGGGGACGGCTGGAAGGGGCCGTCAGAGCCACACTGATTTCGGCTCTGCGGTCAGCACTGCCAGGGAGCTGGCTCCCCAGGAGCCACGAGGACAGCCGCACCCGCCCTGACGGCAGCCCCACCCGTGGTTAGTCCTGCAAACGACAGCCCCGGGTGCTGGGCGGCCCGCTGGGGACCGGGATGGGGACCAGGTCGTGGGAGGGGGTGGAGATGCGGGGCCGGAGCAGGCATCACAGGCAGTCAGCGGCTCGGGGAGGGGCCGGGGTCCTCAGGGGACGTGCCCAGCGGGCTAGTGTTACCTCGGCGACCAAGGCTACTTTGGGGCAGCTTGGGAGGAGCCTGGGGCTGGGCAAGGGGCGGGGGCGACCTGGGCCAAGTGCGGGGGCCTGAGAGGAAGGCGGGCTCCAGCTCAGGGCTGTCGGGACGCCAGACGTGGCGGGATCGGTGTGGGGTGAGAGGTGGGGAGGCCTGGGCTCACCATGCACCGGACAGAACTGGGCCATGCGGGAGAAGGCAAAGGCAGGGCTCAAGAAACCCCAAGGGCTGGGGCACTGGGTGGGGGGAGACGCCCCAGAGTCAAAGGTCAGGGGTACAGCAGAGTGGACGGGGAAGGAGGCGGGGTGGGACAGCGGGAGGACGGGGGACAGTGGCCTCAGGCGGGAGAGAACGGAGGGCAGAGGGGGTCTTCCCACGCCGCTGCCTGAAGGCCTGGTGGGCACACATCTCAGAAACACCCGCAAGGGAGACCGAGGCAGCCTGGGCAGCACTGGCCGGAAGGCGCCGGGCCAGCGCGTCTGTCTGGAAACGCCAGGTGGTGGGAGTCTCGGCTTCAGCGGCGGAACAGCTTCAGACGTGACGATGCAGCTCTGGGGCTTAGTAATTCCTACTCAGGTGCGGTGACGCCACGGAGGGTCTCCACTCGAGGGGCCACGGCGGCCGTGGCTGTGAGCTCCTGATTTCAAAGCGAAAGTTAAGGACAGCGAGGCCTCGGGGGAGGGGCGGTGCGGGGCTCGCCCACAGCCACAGAGGCCTTCGGCGTCTTGCTTTCCAAGTTACAACCGCACTTCAGGAGCCGAGGGGCATTTCTAGATTTGCCCATCGGTGCCCCTGCGTTAGCGCCGTTTGACCAGGCTGGGTAATAACCACATTTGGAACTGAAGGTCTAGAAACTCAGTCGTTTGAGGATCAAAGGGTCTCCTAAAATAAATGCCTACAGACCTCACGTGCCAGCACAGGCCGTAACCTGCTTCCTGGGTGAGGTCACCTTACCCCACCGGAGAACGGCTGGCACGCGTGTGGCAGGAAAGCCTGAAAACACGCACCACGGGGACTCAGCCCAGGAGCTGGCCCACAGCCCACGGCTGTGAGTAAGTTACAGGGGGGTGGTAGGGGCACCCAGGCCACCTGCTGGGGAAATAACTCCACCCTAAGACATGTGCAAAGAAAACATAGTAAGAGGAGGATCAGTGAGAAGATTATGCAGGCACACACACGCCCACACACCCCCACACACATAATCTCTACCCCAGGTAATCGAGAAGTGGCCATAAAACATGCCGAAAACGTCTTCAGTGATTTCAATTCTCAGCGCCCTGGAACTGTTTGCCGTTTGACACCAAATCATCGCGCAACGAATCTGCAGAGACCGGATTTCCTCCCGGTCGTGTCTGCTCCTGCTTCCGTCTCCAGAGCTAACGAGTAACTTCACAGAACACGGGAGATCGCGGGCGATCATCCTCCCAGGGCCTGTTGCCCTCCAAGCTTCCTGGCCGCAGAGGTCACAACACGCAAAATACCAAGACCCTCGTCCCCCACGCGCCTGATCCGCCGTGCCCTCCAGCGCTCCCGTTCAGACGGCGTTTAACGCCACTGGGTTTGGGCTGCAGACCCACGTTCATCTTCCTCTGTCTGAGTTCTTCCTCTGGAAAAACCACCGGGCTTTTCGTTCTCTTTCATTCATATTAAAGCCTCGTGTTTCCTATTTCAAAGGAAGATCAACTCCAAAGTGGGAAAGAACCCCATGCACTTGTGTTTTTAGCTTAGAAGGCCCCACGTGTCCACGAGTGATGCCAGGGCCCGCAGCAGAGATAAACAGCCTGGAGATGCTAAAGGCTTGTACTTGGTCACGGCTCCGGAGCCCGAGGGCTGAGCACTCCGAGGAGAGTGATCAGGGTTTCCCTCTCTTTGGCAGCACCTGTGTGGTGTCAAGTGGAAACACCTCCTCGTGGCTCTGAGGCTGCTTCCGGCCCCCGTGCGTCAGAGCCGACGGAGCCCAACGCCCCCTCCCCAATTCTACAAACAGGAACGAAAACCCACCCTTCAAGCAACGGAGTTGAGACCCCACCCATGAAAGACAGAAAGTGTTTTGAGGAGACCTGCACTTGCCTTGCCTAAGCCCTCCTTCAACCATTCCTCCCACCCTCACCCCCAGTCCCAGCAATCAGAGCTCTCGTCTCTGTACGTATGAGTTTGGTTTATACACATATTTGCATATTTCTGGTCCTCATATGAGAGAGATCACCTGGCGTTTGTCTTTCTCTGCCTGACTTACTTCACTTCACATAATGCCCTCAAGGTCCATCCGTGTTTTGGGCAAGATTTGGGGTTTGGGTCCCCAAACCTCCGGCATGTTCAAAAATGAGCAGGGATTCGCCTATGCCTGCGGACACTGGCTGTTGACAGTTCCTTGAAATACATGAGACCCACCAAGCTCACTGGGGCTCTGCACTTTCCAAACTGCAGCTGCAGGGGGAGGGGCCCCGGGGCTTAGCAGACATCAAAGGGAGCTTTCTGGAGCCGTGCTGTCCATGTGGCAGCCACAGCCACATGTGCCTACTTACATTTAAATTTATGAATGAAACCACTTTAGAAATCCAGCTCCCCTGTCACTTGCCACACTCCAGGCACCAGCGTGGCCGGCACTGACCGCTGTGGGCGGCGTGGATACAGACCACATCCAGCGCCGGTTGGGAGCACCCAAATCCCACCCCCACCCACAGGTGGAGACGCGGTGATTGGCCGAGGTCACAGAGGTCGCCAGCTGGACTCTGGCCCCCAGCGGGGCTTCCCCAGCCCGGGACCCTTGGGACCTCAGTGACCCAGCTCCGGCTGGCCAGTGTTGGGAAGATGACTCAGCCAGGCAGGTAGAAGGGCAGGGGTCTGAAACAGGCAAGGCGGACAGTCCTAGTGGGCAGCCTGAGGCCCCCCGGACAGGCCAGACGTCCACGGCAGGGCCCAGGCCAAGGAGTGAGCAAAAGTCCCAGGAGCCGGAGCAACACGTGAAACCTGGCAGACCAGACACGAGGGTGGCCGGGGTGGCAGGCGGGAGTCAGTCGGCACAGGCTCCGAGGGGCAGCAGGCGGCTCTGGGTGAAGGGACGTGCCTACCTGGCCACGTGTGGACAGTTGGCCGGCGCAGAGGCCCAGCAGGCGGCCCACATGGGCAGTTCTCGACTCCAGGCCAACCAGGGGGCTGGCAGATCTGCTGAGCGATGGGGGTGCCAGAAACTGAGGGTCCGGGGACCACGGGGCTGTCCCAAGCAGGCCAGGCTGTGGACGCAGGCCCAGGGGTACATCAGGAGTTCTGTCCAGGCTGTGGGGAGTGGACGTCCCAGCGGCAGCCGGACAGGTGCTCCCGGGCCGGGGAGAGGCCGACACAGACGTTTGACCTGTAGCTGCCAAAGGGCCAGAGGGGCCACCGAGGGGCGCGTGCCGAGGAGGAAAGGGCACAGGCCGCGAGCCCTGGACACAGAAACCAGGGGCCCAGGACGGGCCTGCGGGCCGTGAGGTGCAGGGCCTCTTCCCGACCAGCTCGGGGAAAGAAAGTGCCAGAATCCCTTTCGCGCCCACGTAAAAATCCGCGGCGTTAGACTAAATTCTCACGGGCCTGGAGCCCCCAGAAGCTGGAAGAGGCAGGGAGGACCCCCCGCAGAGCCTGCAGAGGGAGCGCAGCCCTGGGACAGCTCAGTGTCAGAGTTCTGACCTCCAGAACGGTGAGAGAGTAAACGTCTGTCATTTTAGGCCGGCCGGTTGGTGGCACTTTGTCACGGCCACCCCAGGAGACCAACAAAGGGAGCCCAAGGCTGCTCTTTTACATAACTATTTTAAAATATTTAACTTTAAGGCATTCCCAACATGTGCTTTTAGCCATCAAAGACCTAGAACTCTGGAAAGATCCACGGTCAGATGCCCCAGTGCCTGCTGACCACAGGTAAGATCACGGGTCCAGCCTCCCTCAGGAAGAATTCCCAACGCCTGCCGGTGAGGTCTGGGGTCTGCCCAACCCTCACCTGAGGATCCAGGGACCCCAGGGCAGTGGGCCGGCACCTCGTGGGTTTAGGGTGTACACGTGGGCATCTGCAACCCCCCAGGCAGGGACGGCCCCGTCCTCCTCGGGGAGAAACATCTGAGGGGCAGATGGCCCTCAGGCCAGGAGGCAACGTGCCCCAGGATGTCAGGATCCACTGGCCTCTGGATAGGGTCGCCAACCTCCTACAGCCCAAAGAAGGCGGCGGGGTGCGGGGGTAGAAGGGAAGGCGTCGGGGGAGAAGAGAGCGGAGAGGGTGAGACCGGGAGCTGCCGAGAGCCCCACGGGCAAGGCTTAGCCCCGTGGGTTGTGAGACACCCCAGCGCCCGGCCCACCTGGAGGCTCTTTGCCGTCTGGTTGCAGGGAAAGGAAATCAGTGCTCAGGGAGGGAGGCGCGTCTCAAGGGTTTCTTCTCCACAGAACAGAGGAGGCTCTTTCACAAGAGCTGTTAAAGGGAGGCCGTGGAACCAGCGGAGAAATATCCACCCTCTTCCAAGCACAACAACCGGAGGATTACAGACCTCAGCTCTGGAGGCAGGAACCACAAAGGCAGGCACGCGGTCCCCTCCCCCAGGCCCCACTTCACCAGAAGCCCTTCCAGGGGGACCCAGGGCAGCAATGCCCGTGCAGCTCCCAGCTGGGGTGCAAAGGCGGCCGCCGCACGGGGGCGGATGAGCATTTGGTCAGCATGGCCATGGGAGCCTCCCCTGTGCGAGGCCCAGGCCCCCCTTGGGCCTCTGTCCCCAGGAGACCCCGCCCCACAGATGCACCAGCACAGGGACTCAAGCCGCCGGCCTGGTCGGGACGGCAGAGCCCAGAAAGCTGGCTGGGTGTCGGCTGTCAGAGCAGCGGCAGGGCCTGCATGGGGTGCACGTGGAGGGTGCACATGCAGGGCACAGAGCCGGTCCTGAGCCAAGGAAAGCCTCACAGCCCATTAGGGCCGCACCACCCCCCAGTTCCTGAGAAGGTGACCGTGTGCGGAGGTGGGGTCGCCGTGGAGGCCCTCTGGTAAGATGAGGTCACCGGGGCGGACCCGGATCCCACAGCCTGTGTCCTGACGAAGAGACCGTCACGTCTCAGGGGGGTGACCCTGGGAGGACACGGGAGGGGTGGTGCCTCCAGGCAGGGGAGCAAGCCCCTGGTGGGAAGTGGCCTGTGGACACCTGGACCCTCCACCTCCGGGATGGAGACAAGCGGGCTGTCGTCTAAGCCGCCCCGTCCGTCCGCCTGTCCGTCTGTCCGTGGGGCTTTGTTACGGCTGCCCCAGGAAACCCATACTCGGCCCATCGCCGAGGCCACCTCTCCCCGTGAGGGCAAGGCACCCTCCTCCTCTCCCAGCAGCCAGGGCTCCTGCTGCAATGCTGTCAGCCCCTCGCTCCACACACGTAACTGTCCAGGGGGCACCTTGCTGGGTAAAAAGGGCAGCGGGTGTCCGGGCCCCGTGGACAGAGCAGGCCCGCCGCGCGCTCCTGGGGGCTGGTCACCAAGCCGGCGGCGCTGCGGTGATCCGCGCGCCAGGCCTGCTTCCGGCCGCGGCATCCTCAAGAGCTTCCATTCGACACAGGCGTTTTCTTCCAAACCCAGCGACTGTCTGATGCAGGGTCAACCTGGGAGAGGCTCCACTTCATGCCCAGGAGGGGCCGAGGCCCGGGGCAGCGACATGCAGCAACCCGGCAGACGGCTTCCCTTGAACCCAGCGCAGGACAAACTCAGGAGATGGGCCGTGCCTGGCCGGGACCGAACCGCCGCTCCAAAGCTGAGCCTCGGCTCCGGGGACCGGGAACCGGGGGCGGCAGCCACAGGCCCCCCTTCAGGGGCGAGAGGAAGGGGCCACCACGACCCCGCGCTTGCCAGGCCCGCCTGGGGCGCCGTCTCTCAGGGGGCGGCTGACCTGCGGGCACAGCTCACAGGGCCCCGGGGTGAAAGCCAGGAAGCTCGGGCCCGTCACGCTTACTGACCACGGGTGGGCCGCCGTCCACCACAGCCCCTGCCCCGCGGCACCAGCGCCCGCTCCCGTTCTGCTCTCCGCACGTCCCTCGCTTCAGCTCTCCTCGTAGGGCCCAGGCAGAGGCACGTGGCCTCCGAGCCCCGGGGCACAGGCTGTGGCCCAGAGACTTGAGGGCAAGTGACAGGCGGGCAGCACCAGGCCCAAAGCGGGGTCTGGGTGGCAATGAGGCCACCACGCAGGCTGCCACCCGCGAACAACGGGATGAAGGAAGGCTTGGGGGGTGGGGGGGAGCCGCCCACATTTCAAAAGGGCCATATCACGGGGCTCCCAGTCGTTACCTGTGGGCAGTATTTCTTTGACAGCCTTGCTGGGGCTGCCTGGCTGGCTGCCCCCTGGCCATATGGTGGGAGTGAGAACAGGGGACATGGGTGGCCTCAATGTCTCACCTCCAGAGGAAGAGACGGCCTAACCCAGCGGTTCCCAACCTGTTTGGCATCAGGGGCTGGTGGGGTGGAAGACAATTTTTCCACGGACGGGCGTGGGGGATGGCTCAGGCAGTAGTGCGAGCGACGGGGAGCGACGGGGAGAGAGATAGGGAGCGATGGGGAGAGACAGGGGCGATGGGGAGAGATGGGGAGAGACGGGAAGTGACGGGGAGAGAGATGGGGAGCGATGGGGAGAGACGGGGAGAGACAGGGAGAGACGGGGAGTGATCGGGAGAGATGCAGAGAGACGGGGAAAGAGGGGGAGAGACGCAGACAGACGAGGGGGAGAGATGGGGAGTGATGGGGAGAAATGGGGAGAGACAGGGAGCGACAGGGAGAGACAGGGAGACATGGGGAGAGACGGGGAGAGACGGGGAGCGATGGGGAGAGATGTGGAGAGACGGGGAGAGACGGGGAGCGACGGGGAGAGAGATGGGGAGCGATGGGGAGAGACAGGGAGAGACGGGGAGCGATGGGAAGAGATGGGGAGCGACGGGGAGAGACGGGGAGAGACGCAGAGAGACGGGCAGCGAGGGGGAGAGACGGGGAGACACGGGGAGACGGGGAGAGACGCGGAGAGACGGGGAGCGACGGGGAGACACGGGGAGAGACGCGGAGAGACGGGGAGCGAGGGGGAGAGATGGGGAGCGAGGGGGAGAGAGAGGGAGAGACGGGGAGCGATGGGAAGAGATGGGGAGCGACGGGGAGAGACGGGGAGAGACGCAGAGAGACGGGCAGCGAGGGGGAGAGACGGGGAGACACGGGGAGACGGGGAGAGACGCGGAGAGACGGGGAGCGACG